TGTTAAGGAGATTTTTTCTTTTCTACTCCTTCAGGGAAAATATTCTATTCTGCCTCTTTTAATATTCTGTAGAATATTTTATTCTGGGGAGAGGCAATTCCCATAGAATGTTAAATGAAATGAAGTTTTCCTTTATCTTGAACAGAAATGCAGCAACTGTAGAGTTTTCATTTTTAAGGAGGAAAGAAAGTATATATGAGCATGGAAGGTGGGGGGGGTCTCAGGAGGCATGAATTTACTTGCCAATGATTGTCTAATGATTGTACATATATATATATTTCTTAGGGGCTGGTAAAGAATGACCTGTATAAACAGTAAAATAGTCCAGATCAATCCCAGATGTTGAGTGATAGTAGAAGGAATTGCCAACAAAAAGACTTGTTGTGCAGAAGCATCTTAAGAAGATAATGGAGATAATTTCTGTTTCTTCTCATCATTATTATAAACTGTTGTAAGATTCCCAAAATCTTCATTTCCTTAAATATCCTACATGAAACCAGAGAAAAATCAGCTAGAGATCTCAAATGAAATGGCATCAGCATACAGATGTTATAAAGTCTGGATGCACATAATAAAATAAAATATTCTGTTGTTGTTAATTGTGAAGTCATGTCAGTGACTCCATCCAGCCACCTCATTCTCTGTTGTACCCTTCTTCTGTTGCCCTCAATCTTTCCCAGCATTAGGCCCTTCTCCAGTGAGTCCTTCCTTCTCATTAGGTGCCCAAAGTACTTGAGTTTCAATTTCAGGATCTGGCCTTCTAAAAAGCAGTTGAGGTTGATCTCCTCTAGGACTGACTGGTTTGATTGCCTTGCAGTCCAGGGGACTCGTAGGAGTCTTCTCCAGCACCATGTTCAAAGGCCTCAATTCTTTTGCACTCAGCCTTTCTTATGGTCCAACTTTCACATCCATACATTGCAACTGGAAAAACCATGGACTTGACTATATGCACTTTTGTTGGCAGGGTGATGTCTCTGCTTTTTAGTATGCTGTCTTGTATAGTTCTTCTGTGTAGTTTTGCCACCTCTTCTTAATCTCTTCTGCCTCTGTTAGGTCCCTGACATTTTGGTCCTTTATTATGCCCATCTTTGCATGAAACGTTCCCTTCATCTCTCCAATTTTCTTGAAGAGATCTCTGGTCTTCCCTATTCTATTGATTTCTTCTATTTCTTTGCACTGTTCATTTAAGAAGGTATTCTTATCTCTTCTAGCTATTCTCTGGAATTCTGCATTCAATTGGGTGTATCTTTCTCTTTCTCCTTTGCCTTTTGCTTCCCTTCTTTTCTCAGCTATTTGCAAAGCTTCCTCAGACAGCCATTTTGCTTTCTTGCATTTTTTTTCTCTTTGGGATGCTTTTAGTTGCTACCTCTTGTACAATGTTGTGAACCTCCGTCCATAGTTCTTCAGGCACTCTGTCTATCAGATCTAATTCCTTAAATCTATTTGTTACCTCTACTGTATATTCATCAGGAATATGATTTAGTTCATACCTGAGTGGCCTAGTGCTTTTCCCTACTTTCTTTAATTTAAGCCTAAATTTTGCAACAAGAAGCTCATGATATGAGCCCCAGTCAGCAGCTGGTCTTGTTTTTACTGACTGTACAGAGCTTCTCCATCTTTGGCTGTAGAGAACATAGTCAATTTGATTTCTGTGTTGACTGTCTGGTGATGTCCATGTGTAGAGCCCTCTCTTGGGTTGTTGGAAAAGTGTGTTTGTTATTACCATCGTATTCTCTTGACAAAATTCTATTAGCCTGTGCCCTGCTTCATTTTGTACTCCAAGGCTAAATTTGCCTGTTATTCTGGTTATCTTTTGGCTTCCTACTTTAGCATTCCAGTCCCCCATGATGATAAGGACATCATTTTTTGGTGTTAATTCTATAAGCTGCTGAAGGGCTTCACAGAACAGTCAATTTTATCCTCTTCAGCACCAGTGGCTGGGGCATATATTTGGACTACTGTGATATTGAATGGTTTGCCTTGGATTTGAACTGTAAAATATTCTGTAAAATATTCTACAGAATATTAAAAGAGGCAGATGGTAGCAAGTAAATTTCTGCTACCATCAGACTGAGATCATCCAATAAGGAATTGTTGATGGAAAAGTCTTCATCATGATTCAGTCCAAACGGGAATAAACAACTGCTTTAGAAAGAAGGTTGCAGTTTATTGAAGAGGAGAGCCAGACAGAAAAATGGCTCTGGAAGAAAAATAGAAAAATTACATATAGTAGGGAGTGGTGGGTTTTTATACCTTCTTGAGCCTTTTGTTTGGAGTTGTTCCTGTGGCATGAACTTTGACCTGAGTCTGAGTGTGCCTTTCTGATATTCTGATAGTGGTAGGTTAAATCCTATTATGTCCCAAAGGTATATCATGCTTCCCTGGGGCTGATGACACCTAGATTTTTGGTGTGAGGGATTGTTGATTTTAGGGATCTTTCTTCCTAATCCCAATTTCCTGACTCCAGTCTTTCTGACAAGATTATCACATCTGCATTTCTGCACACATGGTTTCTGTTTGGGACAGAGAGACTTGGGTGGGATGTTGATTTCTGCCTTTAAAACCCTTTAGGGAAATATATTCTTCCAAAAATATTTCTTTCTCTGGGAGGGCGGTGCTGACTTCCCACAGAATCAAGGATGGAGGATAGAATGGACTTCACAGCCTTTCTGAAAAAGCAAAACCTGCACCTGTGGAATCATCCTTTCCAATGGGAAAGCAAGAGTTAATGGCCAGAAATAATTTTAACTAACTACAGATCTTGTATCTGTAAAGTATTGACTAATAATAACCACGCTGTGATCCTGTAGACCAGGGCTTTTCAACCGGTGGTACGCGTACCACTGGTGGTACACAACCACCTGGCTGGTGGTACGCGGCATTGCCTTCCTCCCCCCCCCCGCTCTGCTCCTTCTCAGCTCACATTTGTGGAAAACATGCTGCTTGGTGGCAGCCTGCACAAACCCTACCAAACATGCCCTGCAGAGGGGCGCGAAGAGTGCAGGTGCAGAGCAAGGCCCTGCCCTCCCCAGGGACACATTGTACAGCAACTGGATTGACTTCTTCTCGTGCATGCAGGTCAGTGGGATCCATATCTCCCTTCCCCTCCCTCTTCTTACTTCACAACAAGCGCTAGCCTGATAGCCCCTTCCGGGCTGGGAGAAGCGCACACTGTTGCCTGTATCGCAGGCTTAAAGTCTGAAACAGCTAGGCTCTTGGCTGACTGATTGCCTTTCTCTCCACCCAAACTTTTTTACAAACCAGGAATCATGGCTTAGTGGAGGCCTGGAGCAGGTCTCAGGGTGCCTGTGAACCCCTTGGATCAGACAAGTGAGAGATCGACTTTAGCCTTTGGGGAACAAAAGCCGGTCGGGGCTGATCTCTTCCTGCCCGGGAAGGCTGGAGAAGCCAGGAGAAAGTCAGTTATTAGAGGGGGGGGGAAGACACTTCTTCATTTAAGGCAGTTTTGGAAAATTAACTTTTGCGGGAAAGGAAAGCAGATTTTTTTTCCCTTTTCTTGGATCGTCTTCTTTGCTTGGGCGTCTGTTGCCTATATTGTAGGCTTAAAGTCTGAAACAGCTGGGCTCTTGGCTAACTGATCGCCTTTCTCCCCCTCTCATCTTTTTGGGAGATGCGCCTTTGCAGTGGGTTTCCCCTTCCGTTAATTATTGGAGGTTTGAAAGACAAGCTGCTCCCGGAGCGTAAAAGTAGAGGGCCCAAACAGTGAGAGTGATGCAGCTCTCTGACTCTCTACTTCAGGGGAAAAATGTAGGGGGAAAATGACTGGGAGAAGTAGCCAGTTCGTAACGTACGTGCCTGAAAAAGGGAGGTGCACTGGCCACATCCCCGCCCTGCCTGTGCGTTCTCCTCTGCTTCTGCGCGCGCACAGGCAGGGCCATGATGTGTTGCTGCCTGCCAAACCAGGCTGGGGTCTGGACGGCGTAGCGCAGGACGAAGGAATGAGGAAGGAAGGAAGGGACAATGGGAAAGAGGGAGGGAAGGAGGAAGGGACAAAGAAAGGTGAAGGAAAGGAAGGAAAGGACAATGGGAGGGAAGGAAGCAGGCATCCGCCCATCACATCCCCCTCCGCCAGAGACCCATGGATTCCCCCTCACAGGCACCCTGCAACCTGAGTGATCAGCTGGCCATGCCCCTCCCGCCATTGATCACATGACCCTGGGACACTGTGAATGTGGTAAGTATGAATCAGTTGCCAAGCAATCCAAATGTAAATCACAAGACCCTGGGGATGCTGCAATAGTCGTAAGTGTGAACAATGGTCATAATTCGCTTGTAACAGTTACAAAGTGAATTGTTGTAAGTCGAGGACTACCTGTACTTTCTCATTTTTCCCTCTTTTTTTTTTTTGTTTGGTCAAGTTTTTGATACCTCGCTGGGCGAGTGTTAGTACTCGGATACTGCCTTATCCAAAAAGTGGTACAATGGGTGAAAAGGTTGAAAAGCCCCGCTCTAGACCAGGGGTAGGCAATCTTGATTCTTTTATGATTCATGGACTTCAACTCTGGCTCAGGAATTCTGGGAGTTGAAGTCCACAAGTTATAAAAGAGCCAAGGTTGCCTACCCCTGGTCTAGACGTTTCTTCTGATGAAGAATACAAACCAGTGTTCCTCTCTGTTTTGCATTGGTCAAACCATAGTTGGAATATTGTACACGTTTAGGAAATATATATATTACCTCAAACGTGGCGAGAACAACAACCAAACAGTTGAAAGAAGAAAGAGATGAGAAATAGTAGGAGATGCTGTCAAGTCTGAAGAAAACAGTGGTGAGATACAATAATTATTGGGCTGGGAGCTTATAAATCTCTATGAAGTTTATGCATTGACCAGCGAAGCGAGGGAAGGCTGCGCTTCCGAACATTCTTCATTAGCCCCCCCCAACAGCGAAAAGGACAAATTAGATCGCTCGCACAACTTCACATCACCAAGAGCGCATGCGCATCTTTCCTGTTCCGCAATTTCCGGGTTACAAATGATAGAGTGAGAAGGGCTAGAATAGCTTAGTAGGAAAAAGCCTGAAGGTTTTGCTGTAAGTTCGTGCTCTTGGGTCCGGGGAAGGACCAGTCCGCTCGTTTACGGATCTTTTCCGTTAAATGTGGGTCTGGAGCAAGTGCCATGCCTCTGAAAGTAGTGCGTGGGTCCCTTAGGGTGATAAAAAATTCTCTGCCGAAGCACCTACAGAAAGCCGATCTCGAGCATTTGCAGCTGGGGCGCGATTATGCGAACCAATACATTCAGGTAAAAACAGTTCATGCATTTCAGAGAGAAAAAAGACTGGCAAAATGTCAGTCTTGAGATACGGGGGGAGTTATGAGCTGCACAAAAGTTGCTCTGCTTCTAGTTTTCCGACATAAAACGTGCTCATGGAAGATGGAGTATATTTAATTTTAATTTTTAAAAATGGGTTTATTTAATCCATTGGGACGCATTCAGTTTAAGTGGTTCTTAAAATAGGTATCTCTTTTCCTGATCTTGAATAATACCAATTTCTGTGAAAAAAACACCCCAAACCCAAACTATTTTACACAAGCAACTTGGCAATTTTAAATTGGATCTTTGACACACAAACACCGATTTATAAATTGGTCTCTTATCCTCAGAATTTGCCCAAATTAACCTCAGTTTAAGAACCACATATCTTATATATAGATATTTAGAGAATAAGCTGGGATTTTTAGGTGAATCTTTTCCATAGATATGGTAATTCACATGATCCATTCATGTTTTAATTTTAACTTTTATTTTTGGTTTTTATTTCTTTTTCTGAAGATACATAGGTGCCTTCTGAAGGCACAATCCTAGGCGATTTTATTCTTTGTGGGTATAAAATATGAAACTTTGTTTTACTGATACAGAATTGCAGCTGGAGAAATCTTTATAATATAAAGCTAACTGCTAGAATAAAAACCTATTTGGTAAATTATTAGGATTTTTTTTCACTCTTCTTTTAAATAACTTATAAAGTCTCCTAGTCTTTTTTTAATTGGCAAACCATGTCAGAAGATTTTTTTCTTTTTATTCAATATAGAATGAATTTTCCAACTTCTATTATTATTATTATTATTATTATTATTATTATTATTATTATTATTATTATTATTCTGTCAGCAATTTTCTGTTATGCCATAGTTATTCCAATAGAAAGATATATTATGCTTTGGAATATACACTGTGATTCAAGATACAACAATATATTAGGCCTGTTGTTGATATTTTTATATACAGATTCCAGTCTTTCTTAGGATCTTTGCTTTTCCTTGATCTTGAACAAGTATTTCAGTTGCTGTTTATGTACTACTTCCGTTTATTCTGAGAAAAAGCTTTGTAGAAAAATCATGCAATCAGACTTCATTGGTATTCATATGTACAGCATGTATGACATTAAACCAAATATGATGTGTTCCTCATTGCTCATAATGGGTGACCTGAGAACTACAAAGTAAAAAGCAGCATTAGAAAGAGCCACGGGAGTTTTGTAAGAAAAATGTTTTAACTCAATTTTGTCAGTTTTCAAAATGGCCAGCAACATAGTTCTATGCCTGCTCAGAAATAAGTTGCGCTAAATTCATTGATATCTATTACAAGATTAGTGAAATTAGGATTGTAGCCTGAATCATCATCATCATCCCAACCATGAGACTTATTCTTTGTCAATGGTCCACTGTGTAAATGCTGGCTTGAAGGGAAATGAAATTTATTTTCTACCTAACTGTGAATATTGACTTTCTCTCAGAACTGCTTGTGACAGAAAAGTGATGAGATTGTCTTGTCAGGTTGTATTTGCTTTATATATATATTTATATTAGGAACATTCTCTTAATTCCTCTGCCTCTATAAAAACCCCTGAATTTCTTTAGTATTCTAGAAATATTTCAGAGGGATGTGGGAAAATAATATTGTTTAAAGGTATAATTTTAAGTTCTGAATAAGGTTGATGTTTATAAAGTTTCAACATTTATTAGAGTATTTTCCTCTGTTTTAGGGATCAGTTGTCACGTTCTATCGATTGATTCGTCTTAGAAATGAGACATCTTTCTTCAAGATAGTACTTCAAGGTATTTCAGCACAATGAGTACTATATTCTCATGATTATATTCTTGGTTAGGTTTGTCAAAGAACGTTCAACATGAATGATGTGGTTGAGATATACAGAATACAACAGCAGGGAACGATCATGGAACATTTACATAGTTCTTGAGGGAATGGGTACAAGTTCTGTGGTGCAATGTAAATAATGTAAACAATGCTAGGTATAATTTAAAAATAAAAACTTTCCAAACTGTGAATCTTGCTTTTGAGTATTTGTTCACTGTAAAGTAAAACAAGATGAGCATAATTTTGCTTGTAGAATGACTTGGGGACAATTAATTCTTTAAGCATTAAAACTATCCTATGAAAAATGTTCCGTGACTAGTCACTTACTGCAATATCAAGAAGTGTTTTCTTTTTAATCGTCACAGAGTTTCCTTCACTTTCTGATGTGAAATAATCTGGTATGCTAAGTTGTAATATTGGCCAATGTAGGAGCAAGAGCTTCTGCTGTTGAATTTAGACTGATATTTATCTTTTCAGAATCAGTAAACTCATCTTCCAGGAATAGCAGCATCTATATTTTAATATTTGGGAAACTGGCAGAAGATTGTGCCAAAGGTGTCCAACAAGGGGTAAGTGATTTTATTTTTCTTGTTACTAATATTAATATAAAATTTATATCTATATTTACCCAATTGATACATGCGACAATTGCAACACCAACCTATGTAGCTTTATTTTAATTTATTAATCAATGTTCATTGTCATTCTCCCCACATTTCTTACTGGTTTCCTTCTTTTTGGCTCATCTTTTTTGTAAAATTTTGCATGGTAGTATGATGAATGTTTGGAAGACCATCTGCAGCTAACATTTTTTTTCTTGCTCTTTCAATTGGCTTACAGCCATTCACATTTAGAATTTTTGCAGACATGTTTTTGAGACAGACCATTGTAATCCAATACTATCTCTACTGTTTGCTCTAAGCGAGCAGCTGATATCTTAAAAAATGAATATGTTAGATCTAATGAAGCAGCCAGCTCACAGAATTTATTTTATATGAAAGAAAAAGTGAGTTGGAATGCAAATCTCTACAAACTTTTATACATTCTATATTTGTAAAGAGAGCCAGTTTGATTAAGGCAGCAGGCTAGAAACCAGGAAAGTGTGAGTTCTAATCCTGTCTGAGGCACAAAACTAACTGAATGACCTTGGGCCAATTAGTCTGTCTCAGACCTAGGAAAACACCTTGTCAAGAATGCTGCTGAGATCACTACAGAAGTGGCTGAGAGCCAAGTCTGGCTCAAAGGTGTACACACACACACATACTTATACACCCTTTTTTTGTAAATCATAAATGATTTGGGCACATCTTGAGAAAATAAAATGTAATTGAATAACATTGAAATCAGTGGCACTTCTTCATGAGTCCATCACTTTCAGTGGAATGTTCATATACAATTTGGTGAAAAAGTATTCACCCTTCACCTTGGATTTTCTAAACACTTGCATTTCTTTTCCATTGAAAGCTACGAGAGCTTTACATGGGCCCTATCAGTATTAAAAGTCAGTCTGAATGAACAAATAACAGCAAGTGCAGTTCATTAGTTTGATAAACAGTCATCTGCAAGCAATATCACATTGTGAAAATGTAGTTGACCCTTTAGATTCAGCATCTGGTAGCACCAACTTTGGCCTTAAGAATTACAAAACATTTCTTTTCTCATCACATTCAATGGCAGAGGTACACAAAACAGCCGAAAGGGAGTAAATACTTTTTCACAGAATTGTTTCCAAGTCCATTAGACCTACAACCTGTTTTAATGTCAAACATCAAAAATGATTTATGTTGTATTTACACAGGAATAAGCTATGTCACTCCCTTGGAGATATTAGAAAATATTTTCTATTTTTCTGCCTCTGTGTATGTGAGAGAGAGACTTTTAAGAAATGTTTGGGTTACTTATTCTGACAAGCTAATATAGTCTGGTTTGGATTGTTACATGCCAGTATTATATTATTGCTGTAATACAGTTTTCAGGTTATTTACATTTAAAATACTGTTTAGAAAGTGTAATGGAAAGCTTCATTACAAAAGTCATTTTTCATCAAGTCACATTTTTGACTTTATAACTGTTTGGCTGTTGAGTTAATACCATATAGGCTGAAAAATATATGTGTATATTTGTAATTTATATTCATATTCTGATTTATAAAATATATTGGTGAAGGGGACTTGTATTAAGAATTGAATTTTTCAAGAAACATTTTATTTTTTTTTAATTTGCACTTTTTTCTTTTCAGACACCATATTAGTTTTATCTTTAATAAAATTATTAAAATGACTTTTTAAAGAAACTTAATATTTTTATAACTATTATCTTATTTATTTCACTTATTCTGCACTTTGATACTTGCACATTTCTACCTGATTTTTTTTCAACTTAGTCTTGTTTTGTTAAAAGTTATTAATCTTAGCCTTATTTCTTCATTAATTTAAATGGTTATTTTGCTTACCATAGGAGTCAGAAACAAATAGTTGAAATAAACACTTAAACATCTTTCCTAGCATGAAAAAAATTACATTTCTTGGTTAAAGTGGGTTTTATTTTAAAATTGCCATATATAACATGCATAGTTACAATTATAGCATTCAGCATTCAGACTATAATATTTATACTTCAAATCTTTGCTGTTGGTTTTTTCTGTTACCCAATTCTATCAGATTGCTACTGCGTCAAAGTCTCTTAACCAATGATAATCTGCAAACCTACATTGTACGCAATCCATTCTCCTTCATTTGTATTGTATTGTTTTTTGTCATTGCATTTATTTAAAGGCTTCTCTTTGTTAAAGATTGTTATATATGGAGGCACTATTCATCTTAAAATGGGCATTTCAGTTCTGTCTCATTTTATCCATTTTAGTATTCTTCAAAATTATAGCAATAGAGTTTAGACTTACATACCATTCCATAATGCTTTACAGCACTCTCTAAGTGGTTTAAAGAGGCAGCATATTGCCCCCCAAAATCTGGGTCCTCATTTTACTGACCTTGGAAGGATGGAAGGGTGAGTCAATCTTGAGCCGTTCAGAATTCAACTCCTGGAGTGAGCAGTGAGTTAGCCTGTAGCACTCCATTCTAACCTCTGGGCCATTATGGTTTTTATTATCATTTTTATCATGTTTAAAATGTAGGGATAAAAAGATGTGATGTAAATGATATAACATTAGTGGTGGATATAATAACATGCTCATTGGCTATATTTTTTTTTTTTTGATAGGATATCATCATGGTGGCTGGGTTCAGTTTGGCAAAGTCCACAAATGATTGCAATAGGCATGAGTGTCAGGTGGAAGTGTCTGATGAAGCCGGCTCAACGATTTATGTATATTGATCAAGTTTTTTTTTCTCATTCTCTCCATTTTCACTTAATCTGTAGTTGAATTAGACAGTAATTTTAAAAGATGACTATGGTTATTAAAATTTAATTAAGTTATGCTGTTTAACAAAATTTCAAAGTTACCTCTTTGTTTTATATTTTTCATTTCTCGAAAATATGAGCACCCATGGTCATTATCAATAGATAAAATAAAGAATAAAGAAGGAAGAAAGAACAATTTGAATTTTTACATGATGCTTGTTTTATGATGGCTGCTGGGAATTTTTTAAGTAGTATGCAAATAAATATAAATTTGATATAAATATAAATTTGATAGTTGCTTTCAAAGGAATATTAGTGTATTTATTAGAAAATTGTGTGTTCTCTCTGTGATATAAATATATAGATATAGATTTTTAAATTAAAATATCAGATAATGCTATATTTCTGGATCTTTAAATCTAAATATTTAAGTTATAAAAATCTGAATATCACATTATCCATTATTGATGTAATTAAGTGTTATAGGAGAAATACAATCTCTCAATAGTATTACAGTAACATAAGCTTAGTGAAGATGTTCCTAATTGATAGAATACACTTAATGTTATGTTTTCAAAATAGTAAATATGCAGTGAATCTATTTACAAAGTAATAGCTTTGTTTTAGAGCAGTGGTTCTCAACCTTTCTAATGCCGGGACCCCATAATACAGTTCCCCATGTTGTGGTGACCCCCAAGTGGGTGTGGCCACCAATAAGAGGGAGTAGGACAGCTAGGGAAAAGAGGAAAAAAATGGCGGACAGAATGGTTTGGTGACCCCTGTGAAATGGTCATTCGACCCCAAATGGGGTCCCGACCCACAGGTTGAGAACCACTGTTTTAAAGAGTAAACAATGAAGAAAATGATCTCTTGTTCATGAAATCATTTTTCTTTTATCCTGTTCAATAGCATCTGAAATAAATGTCTATTTCTGAATCTTAATAAATATTTAATGAAAGTCTTGTTAAAATATTGGCGTGAAGATTCTGAAATTACTTTTAACATGTTTATAGTACTAAGCGTCTTTTTACCCCCAGGTTTGTACTCGATCATCACGAAACGTGACTGGGGAAGGAACAGTATCCATGGTAAGTTTGAATCAATTAAATTTGTGGGCTCAATATCTAAAATACGTTTTCCTTATTCACAATATGTTGCCGCATTAGGTGACAAGGCCTGGACCAACCTTATCCACACTGGGAAGAGATTGCAATGTCAGAAAATATCCAGGAAATAATATCACGTTGTTGCCAAAGAAATTGAATGGTTATATAGAGAGAGGATATATTTCTTTTTTCATAAGATGAAAGGAGAATTAGCTCTGATACTAGTGCAAATAATTTGAAAAGACACTTTGCTTGCAAGTGAAGAAGCTCCTTGCTTTTTTATTAAAGTTTTTAAAAAGACATAAAAACTAACTCAAACTAATAAAGAGCAGAAGCAGTAAAAGAAAGAAGAAAAGCAAAAGTGCAGAAATAATAAAAAATATAAAAAGTTTCTGATTTTCTGTGCAGCAATTTGCAAAAATCTCTCTTCTATAATTACAAAAACCTCTCACTTTTTTCTATTAATATCTACTTCTGTATTTTTTTAAAATATAAGGCATTATGTGAGTTTGCATGATGATATCCACTACTTGAAAAAATTAACCGACCTCTAGTTTATATGGGAAAAATCTCTTTTTTTATAATCGATTCTACCATTTTAAGGGTAACAAAAAAAAAAAAATAGTTCAGTCACAGAATTTTTGACCAGCTTGCCATAGATCATGTTCTCACAGATCATTTTATCTTTTATCTTGCCAGAAAGTTATTCCCCAATACACATACACTCCTCTGAATCACCTTAAAAATGAAACTGTTGTCAATTTATATGGGGCTGTGAAATTCTTCAAACCTGCATATTTAAGCAAAGGAACTGGTATGTATGATTGAATATACATCTTACCATTATAATATGTTAAAATATATGCTTTTTTTAAGCAAATGAGTTCCAAAGTAGATTGTGGACTAATGACCAATTTCAGATAAACTGCCATAGCTGATCAAGTAAACAGTCATATCAGCCCATTTTGGAGAAAATTGTGGAAAAGGTGGTTGAATGATAGCAACAGAGGATCTTGGGGGAAATAGATTATCAATCAATGGATCATTAATAATCCATGGATATGAATTACTATTCCGTCTGACTTCAGACTAAGGTACAGTGCAGAGGCAGTATAGGTCACATATGTTCATGATGTTTGGCAGAGCATGATGTATCCATCCAGTGCCCCTTGTTCTCAATGGCTTTTGATACTGTTGGACCAGTTGTGGGATATGAGTAGGAGGTACTATGTGGCAGTGGTTCCTCATGGTCAGTTTTATTTGATGATGACAGATGGAAAGAGATTGATTCATGGCTCCTTCTATGTGGGATGCTTCCGGGCTTAATGATCTTTGCTACAGTAGATTAGCCAATACTTCGGGGTGCGGTATCATTGGCATGCTGATGATAGTCAGCTCTACATCACCATCCCAAACTGGGTAGGTGAAATTATTGTATTGACCAGTGTATGGGGGTTTTTCAAGTCTGGATAGGGCAAAACTCAATCTTAACAAGACTGTGTGACTATTTGGACCCCCTGAGGTGGGGATCTCACCAGCTTTGGTCTTGGATGGTGCTGCATTATTCCAAAGAAGACTGGTGCACAACTTGGGGTGGGGGCAGCTACTGCTTGAAGAGCAAGTGGCAGCTGTGGCCAGGAGGGCCTTTGCATAGATTCATCTTGTGTGTCAGTTGTGCTCTTTTTTCAATTGGAGACCCTTCAGAGATTCACTCATGTCCTGGTCACATCACAGTTAGATTATTGGAGTATGTTCTACATGGGGCTGCTCTTGAAGATCACCCAGAAGCAGTGGTGGGATTCAAATACCTGAACAACAGGTTCCCTGCATGGATGCAGGCCTAGAATGGACTTCCGGAAGTAGCACTTCCGGTGGGCCGTTCTAGGTCTGGGAGGCCTCTTCCAGGCCTCCGAGGCCTAGAATGGACTTCTGGAAGTGGCATCATGTACTTCTGGCAGGTCGTTCTAGTCCCGGCAGGCCTCCGAGGCCTAGAACAGACTTCCGGAAGTGGCAGCCACGCACTTCCGTTGGGTTGTTCTAGGCCTGGGTGGCTTCCTCCAGGCCTCCGAGGCCTAGAGCAGACTTCTGAAAGCAGTGTGCATTCAGCCAGTTTCCGAACTCAACAAAATTTAGCTACCGGTTCTATTGAACCAGTGCGAATCGGCTGAATCCCACCACTGCCCAGAAGCTATAGCTGGTTGAATATGCAATGGCGCAAGCAGTAACAGGCACCTCTCAGTGTGCCCATGTGTCATCACTGCTGCACAAGCTGCATTGGCTGCTAGTTGGCTTCCAAATGCAATCCAGTTTGTTGGTTATTACCTATAAAAAGCCCTGTATGGCAGAGGAGGCTGCATACCTGAGAGAATGCTAGTTTCCAATTGTTTATTGTCTTCAGTACATTCTGGCAGAGAGGGTGTGCTCCAGGGCCCCTCCATTAACTGTTGTGAACTTGTGGGACTAAGGAAGTATGCCTTCTCAGTTGTGGCCCCTTATCTTGGGGACAATGTCCTCCTAGAGATCAGGCAGCACCTTCTCTCCTATGGATCTGGAAAGCTTTGAAAACCTGGTTTTCGTCCCATGCCTGCGTTTGATGTTATTCATTTAATGACTACTGTTTTGTTTTGTACATTTTAGTCCGGGCTGCCTATGATTTTAGCTGTTTTTACGTCTTTTTTTAGTTTGGTGCCCTGCTCATTGTCCAATGATTTTGGTGATTATTAAATTTAAATAAATAAATGAAATACCTTGTGATCTTACAGAATGGGTAGGAATCTTGTAGAATGGACCTTGACCACGAGGTCAAGGGAAAAGTAGACATGTTCATAATTAATCCAGAATAAAACCTGAATGTGTCCAAACCTCTTTAACCATATTTTCCTTAAGTCCCATTAATTTATTTTTCTCAAGTAGATTTTTCTAATTTTATGTGATCTTAAATTTACTGAATTTAATTTTTATCTTACATCAAAATTACCAGCTGCATTTTTTTTGAACTCCAAAGTTTATCACTCAAGGCTTTCTAACAGAATATTTTTTGAATTAAGTGGACACAGGCTATGGAGCAGGAAGAAAAGTTCAGCAGCTGTTTTTCTGCTGCTGACTTGATTACTCTCATTTGTCAATGCAGTGGCAAACTGTAGAAGAAAAGAGGAAAAAGGCAAGAAAGAAAGCAATAAGGACACAGAAAAATAAAGAACTTAAGAGTTACTCTTTCCTCCAAAAAAGAACTCTTTGAATAGAGGGGCCAAGTTGGCCGCAGGCTCTTTAGCCAATATAGAACTTTGGTTTAATAAGAGATGCAAAAGATTTGCTAGTATGAGACTGTTTTCTATGCATTAATTTTGAAGGGATGTTGATTTGCATTTTTTTTTTGTAATTGTAACACTTATTAAGTGAGTACAGTGGTGTGAGTGCCTTCAGAAAGGGAAAAGGAAAATATGCAATATTGAAGTAGCCAACTGTATAAATTGCTAACAAAAGTGTAATTTAATTTGAATTTGTTTCTGTATAAACAGAACCTGAAATTTGAAGAATCCTTGTGCAAGTATGTTTTTCCAAGAATAATTACTTTAAAACCGGGGTCTCCAATCTTGGCAACTTTAAGACTTGTGGACTTCGACTGGCTGAGGAATTCTGAGAGTTGAAGTCCGCAAACCCTGAAGTTGCTAAGGTTGGAGACTTCTGCTTTAAAACATCCCAAATTATATCACCAGAAAAAGTTGGAAAGTCATGCAGAATTTTCAGAAGAATGTGATATTGTTGTAAGACTCCACAGATACTCAGTATATTTGTTGTGTTTATCTCCTAACAAGGAAGATGAAAAATACACTGTGAGGTGTTGAACTTCTTTCTCATTTAAACCCCCCCTTTTTTTCAAATTATTCACAGTTAGGCTCATGTGTTTTGGAATGGTTATTATTGGTTCCTTTCCAAACTATTTACAAACCCATTTTGGTCTACAAACTTTATTCAAATATGCCAATAAAGTGTAATTTGGATAATTAAAATCCCACTGCAAATGTAACCATAATCATACTTAGCTTTGAAAAAATAAATGAAATGAATGAAAATATTGGAAATGTAGATAATTTGGAGAGAGGAGTATAATTTCTCAATACTGTATAATTCATAGACTCCTTCTCTTTCTGTAAACCATTTATAAAAACATTTTTGTTTGCTTGTGTGTAATATGGATTATAGAACTATGAGAAATCTTAAAACCTTATAAAACTACTACAACAAACTCATTATAAACAATTGGTTGAATCCAAATTTGATGACATTTATTTTCATTGAAATAATTAAAACTTAAATTAACAATGACTTTTGTCATTGTAATAAAATGGATTTGTTGCTTTAAAACAGATTCAACTATTTAAATAAAGAAATTTGCAATGGCAAAATATGAATCCTCAAAACAAAGATATTGTGTAGTACCGTATTTTCTGGTGTATAAGACTACTTTCTAATCCCTGAAAATCTTCTGAAAAGTCGGGGGTCGTCTTATACGCAGGAATGTACGGGTAGCTGTTCTCTGAATTTAAAACCAATCTGCCCCCTAGTGGCCAGCCCTATTTTTTTTTTACAGAAATAAGCACTAACAGGACAAAGCTTTCTAGCAAAGGAATGGAGCTCCTATTGTGCTCATCTATAAACAGAAATTCAATATTGTACTGTATTTTCTGGCGCATAAGACGACTTTCTAAACCCTGAAAATCTTCTCAAAAGTTGGGGGTCGTCTTATAAGCCCAGTCGCCTTATAAGCTGGAATATACGGTAATTGCTTTTAAGCATTTAATTATTGAAGAAAATAATCCTAGGAAATAGATCAATTGAATATTAGTTTTTTCCAGTAATTGAATTTAGATTTTTGTAGATTCCTCAATTCCTCCTTATTTTTTACTTTTTAAATATTATGAAATGATCCCCACATAACCATAATATTGTAAAATGTTACATCATATTATAATAGCAATTATAGCACATAGTTATTAGAATTTAGTTTCATTTATGAAGTATCATGACAAATATCTGATGTGTGACTGTGTTCTGACGACATCGGATATTAACACTTAGAGACTGATTTAAAAAACATACTAAGAACCACAATTTTCATAGCTAAATAAACTAAAAAACTTTATCTTAAGATATGAAAGAAACATTGGGGATAGTTTAGGTTTTTAATTAAGTTTAGATCTATTTGACAACAGTAGAGTACTAAAGATAAAATGGTGTGCCACACTGAATTCATTGGCAACAGCAGTTGTTGTTGTTAATTGCGAAGTCGTGTCTGACCCATCGTGACCCCATGGACAACGTTCCTCCAGGCCTTCCTGTCCTCTACCATCTTTTGGAGTCCATTTAAATTCACGCCTACTGCTTCAGTGACTCCATCCAGCCACCTCATTCTCTTCTATTGCCCTCAATCTTTCCCAGCATTAGGCCCTTCTCCAGTGAGTCCTTCTCATTAGGTCGCCAAAGTATTTGAGTTTCAACTTCAGAATCTGGCTTCTAAAGACCAGTCAGGGTTGATCTCTTCTAGGACTGACCGGTATGAACACCTTGCAGTCCAAGGGACTTGCAGAAGTCTTCTCCAGCACCATAGTTCAAAGGCCTCAATTCTTTGTTGCCAGTGTTTCTTATGGTCCAATTTTCACATCCATACATTGCAACTGGGAAAACCATGGCCTGGACTATATGCACTTTTGTTGGCAGGGTGATGTCTCTGCTTTTTAGTATGCTATCTAGATTTGCCATAGCTTTCCTCCCCAGGAGCAAGTGTCTTTTAATTTCTTGGCTGCAGTCCCCATC